GGCGGCATTACTTCTTTTATTTTACAGGATTTTGCGATCTTAAGAACCTTGAAGAGCTATACCTTGATGACAATGATTTTGAGGGGATATTTCCTTCATGTATGGGAAACTTGACATCGCTTCGAGCATTGGATCTCTCTTCCAATAACTTGCATGGAAGTGTTGCCCACTCTCCCCTTACTATTCTCACTTCACTTGAATACCTTTCCCTTTCAGATAATCACTTCATGATTCCATTCTCATTTGCCTCATTTTCTAACCATTCAAAGCTTGAGGTCATTTTAAGTGATAATAACGTAGCAACAATTGAAAATGAATCTCAATCATGGATCCCGAGATTTCAACTGAAGTTTTTTAGTTTGTCAAATTGTGCCATTAAAACACTACCTTCTTTCCTGTATTACCAAAATGAGATGATAGCTGTTGATCTCTCCCACAACAACTTATTGGGGAAGTTCCCCACCTGGTTGTTAGAGAATAATACGAGATTGGAATTACTTAACCTAGAGAATAACTCTTTAATGGGGTCTTTTCAAATGCCTTCTTATCCTAATCCTCACATTTCACAATTAGATGTTTCAGACAATAACATAACTGGTCAAATTCCTATAAATTTAGATATGATCTTTCCAAGCTTAGAGGTTGTCGACATGTCCAATAATATGATTGATGGTCGTATTCCTCCTAGTTTTGGCAATCTCAGTTCTTTACTGGCCATAGACTTATCTCATAATCGTTTATCTGGAAGAATACCAGAACATCTGCAAATGGGTCTTTCCTCCTTGGAGTTTCTCAAACTATCAAATAATTACTTGCATGGTCAAATATTTGGCAATCTTCTCAACATGGGTCAATTGTGGGTGTTACATTTGGACAACAATCACTTTCTTGGAAACATACCAGACTGCTTATCAAATGCCTCTACGTTGAGCACGGTCGATATTTCTAATAACCATTTGTCTGGCTTCCTTCCTCAGTGGATCGGGAATGTATCGTCTTTAAGGCAAATAAGTTTGGCCAAAAATCACTTTGAAGGCCCCATTCCATTGGGATTTTGCAAACTTAATTTTCTTCCGTTTTTGGATTTATCTGAGAATAACTTGTCAGGCTCTGTGCCAGCTTGCTTCAACCCTTCATCCATAATGCATCTCCATCTGAATAAGAATAGATTGAGTGGTCCATTGAATCTTTCATTCTATGATAACTCCAATTTGGTGACATTAGACCTTGGAGACAACAGGTTTACTGGTGAAATCCCGAATTGGATAGGCAAACTTTCTGGATTGAGGGTTCTTATCTTGAAACGTAACAATTTTGGAGGCAGCATTCCCAGTCAATTATGCCACTTGAAACAATTAAGCATGATTGATCTTTCTCAGAATAGACTTTCTGGTCCTATTCCTCATTGCCTGTCTAACATCACTTGTGAGCCGAGCTTTGAAAAATCTTATTTATTTTTGGGACAAATTGAGCTTCTTTATCCAAGGGAATTACCATTTTCAATCATGGGAATTAATAGATATTTTGATTTTCAATTTAATTCCTATTTTGTTGAAATATTGAATGCCAAAGAAACTGTGGAGTTCACAACAAAGAATAGTACCTATCCATATCAGGGCGCTGTCCTTGATTTGATTTCAGGGATTGATTTCTCTTGCAACGAATTAACTGGTACTATACCACCAGAAATTGGGAACTTAAGTGAGCTCTTCTTGTTAAATCTGTCGCATAACAATCTCCTTGGATCCATTCCGGCATCGTTGTCCAACCTAAGTCATATTGAGAGTTTAGATCTTTCCTATAACAACTTGACCGGGAGTATCCCCTCCGAATTGATTAAGTTGAACTTCTTGGAGGTCTTCAGTGTCGCCTACAACAATTTATCAGGTAAAACTCCAGATTTGAAAGCTCAGTTTGCTACCTTCAGCGAGAGTAGTTACGAGGGAAATCCTTATATTTGTGGACCTCCATCACATAACAATTGTACTGATGTCCGAGCACCATCGTCAATTCCAAAAGATTCAGAGGATGAGCAAAATGATGGTGGTTTCACTGACATGGATGTATTTCATGTGAGCTTTTTAGTGTCTTATATCATGTTGTTATTAGGAACTTTAGCAGTTCTTTATGTGAACCCTCCTTGGCAAAGGGCATGGCTCCATTTGGTTGAAGCATGTATGACCTCTTGCTACTATTTTGTTGTTGACAGTTTTCATAAGTTGTTCAACCGCAACATTGTGTGACCCATTAGCTAGATTTTTATGTGTACTCTTTCAATAAAAGCACTGTACTATTTTAAAGTTTTCAGTAGATAATGGTTTCAGTTTATGTACTTCTATCATTAGGTTATGTTATGCATTTTACTTATGTAGTCATGAGAGTAAAAGGAAGAGCTCCAAAAGAGTTCAATGTGTTCCCTCAATAAACCAATGGATAACTTAAATGAAAATTTAAGTTATTGTATAGCTTGCCTACATTACCTTTTAATCCCAAGTAGTAATGTTCAAAAACACTTTACTTTCGTAAAGTTCAAAAATATACTCATACTTTGTGTTTTTGGACCAACATATAATTGATTCCCGAAGTGAAATAGGTAAAAGTCATTTGATTTACTTTCTATAAATATATAAAACCAATGCCTTCTTTAATCCTAATTTTAGTTCCAAGTACATAGTGCAAACACATATTTTCCAAAGTTAATACATTTTTATTTCGACAATAGACCGAAACTAACTTTTTGCATTGCCCCTTTTTTGTCACCCTATTTGTCAAAACAAAAATCAAATTTTCTTGTGTGATGAGTCAGTCAATTAGTCATAATCATTAGCATGATTTGACCTTCGATTTATCTCAATCCTATTATTGAGGAATATGAATGTTCTGTCATCCTATATATATTGGTATTCCCCTACCACAGAAAGCACATTCCACTAAAAATTTTACTAGGTAACAATCCGAAATTCATCACTAAAAGAACTTTGCTACAAATTTTTTTGTTGCAATGTTTGTTGGAGGGAGCCCCTAGCTAAGTGCCGGCGAAATTTAATCATAGGTTAAAGTTGAGTTTTTTCATGGAAAATTTTTGCTGGTGGCAACTTTTGCCTAAGAAAATATATTCTAAGGTAAAAAGGGTTGCCTTCAACATAATCTTTCCCTATGAAAATTTTTCCCTGGTAAAAATTGTATTATTTAAAAAAAAAAAACACTAAATGAGTTAATACCAATTAAACTACCCAAAAACAAACTAAATGAATTTATACCCCCAGGACTTCAAAAACAAACCAAGAATGCAAATAAAGATCATCAAAAATAGTGCACAATACTTCATAACCGACTCTTGGTAGAAATCTTACCTAAAAAAAATCTTTGCACAAAACTTAAGCAAAATAATGCGTAGTGTCTTATGCATTACAAAAGAACTCATGGAGATTTCCCATTTTGATAGTCTGTATCAATTTCCACAATGGTGTGGCCAAGCGCTTGAATGCCAAAAAGTTAGTTGTCAATGCTTTTACATTTGTACTACTTCACATTCCTCTTTAACATTGTCAATTATAAATGACTTACAAACATCACTGCTAATTACCTAAGACAATGGCAAATATATGTTCAAGTTTTAGCTATGGGGAAAATAAAGGAAACTGGGTATAAAGTTGGAAATGGCTTAAACACATTTCCCTTGTTGGACCCTTGGTACTCTAGGGGGATCATTCAGTAGGTCTGGGGTTTTGAACATGGTGAAAAATTCAAGCCTTGAGAGAGAAGCAAAAGTTTGTAGCATAGTGGGAACTTATGGATGGGTATGGCGTAAGCACGAGAATGCTGAAATTAAGGAAGTTCTTAACACCATTCCATCAACTTTTAGGCTTGGTCTGGTTGCTATAGATAGTGTGAAATGGATGTCCTCAACCATTTTTTGCACCAAATCTGCATGGGAATGCTTTAGATTCAAGCAGAAACAACAAAGATGGTCACATATTGTATGGTTTCATGTTACCATTCCTAGGCACAACTTCATTATGTGTCTTGCAGGAAGAAAGAGATCAACTATAGAATCAAGATATACTTCTGCTATATGGCATCATTTCTAAGGCTATTTGTGTCTTTCGTAGAGGTGGGGCAGAGACACAACCATCTCTAATTTGAATATCCATTGTAGAGTCAGTAAGGTCCTTGTAATCTTTCAGATATTGAATAAAATCTTTAATATTGCATCTTTATTGATATCTTTCTTCAATTGTCATTTCCTAAAACCTTAGTCTGTCTTTCCTCAATGCCAAAAAGAGAGGTGAAGGATATTAGGTTATAGTGAGAGTAAAAGGAACTATGAAAGCCAGGAGGTGCCATGAAGATTGTTCTAGTAGCTCAAAGACGAGTCTTATAATCTAGCTTGAGACACGGGAACAGAAAGCAGGCTTCAGGAAGGAATGACAAATGAGGAGGAAGCGAGGTGGACTATACAATCAATATGTGATTTTGATTATTTTCATGTTAATATTAGATTTGAGCTTTAGCATAATCTGAATACATTAGAAAGGGAGATCAAAACATTAGAAAAACAAAAACATGAACTAGAATCATGACCAACAACTTTATTTAACTTAAGAATAGTTAATCTTTGAATTAGAGATAAATTATCAAAAACTTAGAAGCCAACCAAAAGCTTTGTATTGGATAGTATAGTATTTTAGAATAGATACTATATTAGTTTAAATATACGGGGCAATAGCATAATTTTGTCATTGGGAAGTAATTTCCAAAGTACCCTTACCTGTGTTTGTTTGGGGGATTGCTATGCATGGGATTGTGAAATAAATTCTTTCCATTTCCAATGTCTATGTAAAGTAGTAATGGTAATAAAAAGTAAACATGTTTAAAGTTTTTAATAAAAAGTAAACATGTTTAAAGTCTATCCTTATATAGCCAAGATTCTAAAAAGTAATCCCAAGTATTTTCTAATCTTTCATGATAAATGGATACTCTAAAACTGTTTTAGAATATAATTCAACATCCTTCAATGCACCACATACTTACAAGTGGAGCATATGCAATGTACAGCCGAGAGGAATAGTGACCAGTAAAAGTATTCTATCGCATTTAAAGTAGCATAAAAGAGGGATCCAGTGTTCAGTGTCCGCAGATAATGAGTAATCATAGTCAGGAAATGGTTCGTTATACAAATCACAATCCATCAGTAAAATTTCAATAAAGATCCATAAAAAATGATCAACCTATAGTACAGTAACAAAGATATTAACAAAGTTTAGTTTTAGTACTAAATATAGCACAGTAGGGACACCTAACACAACTCTTATCAAATCTGACCTTTATATAGAGATAAAAAGTGAAGATCAAAGCAAATATAGCAACAGCTTCATTGTCATAACTGCCAGCCACAGAGCGAGATATATAGGATGGAACCTAAAAAAGATCACATAGAAAACAGAGAGTATGATTATCACACAGAATAGAGTACCACAAAAACATAGAGCAGCATACTTAATATTAATGTTTTTAATATTAGCTAGAACCAAGAAAAGAACAAAAACAAAAGTAAGACAACCTTGATCGAGAGGTTTACTGTCTACATTCACATAGAATGGAGTACCACAAACACATAGAGCAGCAAACTTAATATTAAAGTTTGTATTACTATCACCAAGAAAAGAACAAAAACAAAAGTAAGACAGACAAGCTTGTCGACAGGTTTACTGTTAAAATCAAACACACAATTGATGACCTTCTCACAACAAAAGCCTACCATAACAAGATGTACACCTGATGCTCCAATATGTCATTACTGACTGACAACTATGTCTAAGAGAAACAGTAAAAAAGAACAGGGAAGGAAAAAAGGGATGAGAGAAAGAAAGAGAAATACAAATGCGGTAGGCTCAACTCAAATTGTTGGGTATCATTCGAAAATGATTAAAAATATTAGAAAGATATGCTCATATATTTTCGACAATAATGCTGCAAGGAAAAGGACATATGAGAAACTACTGTTTAAAGTTTTAAAACAGCATCAAAAAGAATAAGAAATGAAGTTACAGATACCCAATACAAAATTTACCATGGCCAAAAGAGCTGCTGCAGTCAGTCCAGCACCGGTGCCTTTAACTTCCTATTACAAGGGCCAACAAAACTAGACTGAGAAACCTCAGCTCAATGAAATATATTAAATGATATCAGCTAACCTAATGGTAATAACTACAACTAAAAAAAAAAAAAAGATTAAGCTGGCCAGAAAACAAACCTTCGTCAAAAGGAAAGTAGCCCAAGCAGCAATACCAGAGAATGTTGGAGCAGTAAATACACAGTCTCTACAGATAGAGGAATGTTTAAAGAATTCAGTATCCTGCAATAATAAAGTATGACCCCAGGTCAGATTATAAGCTGTTATAGTTGGAAAACCAAATAAACAGAATTAACTAAGTCTGACAGACCAGTAAACCGCTCCTGGGGAAAATTTATTGTTCTAGGATGTAACATGACTATAATACACACCACCACAAGGTGCCTGCCGTCAACGTCAATCCAGGGTAAACAGTTCCACCAATCACACGCCCAAGCAGATACCTTAGGACAAGTAAAATAAACAGCATGACTTATATTTGTCAGTTGAAAACAAAAACAGGAGAATAAGCAAGCAAGAAGATTTCTGAGAATGTTTCCACGAGTTGTAATTTCCATTACCAGGTCTGATCATCAAACCAATTCCAAAAGTCATAGATCCCATTAATTGTAAGATACTGAAACCAATAAATAATCTTGTCAACATCAACCTACTCTTAATCTCCTATGACATTGCACAAAAGTCATTCCTATGAGAGAACATACTAAAGTAAATAAATAAATAGACATGTTTTAAGTAACTACATTATAAAATGGTAGCTTCCGGGTTATGATACAAGCTTCAATTTCATCATCATGGGCTCAAGAAAGTGTACATTTCTTTTTCTCTGCAAGTCATCAGTCCTACGCATTTCATTTTGCTCTTCATTTATGATATACTTAAAATTGGATACTTTGGGACGCAATTACAGATTCTTGTATACAAAGTTGATGCCAAGAAAGCACTTCAATTTCAGACATACGCTAATAATCCTTCAAAAAAAGAAACTGAATCCATAATGCAGGAAAAATTCCATAATCAAGTTCAGGGACTGTCACAACCTGAAGTACTTGTGATATGCCCAAATCCAATCCCCAATACTTTAAGCAACAAGCATCAGGAAGAGATGAATGGCCTCGTTGCCCAATTGCTACCAAATTAGGTTTCTCAGTAGTCAGTACAAGTCTACCAGATGTGGGCTTCAAGCCCCAAANTATAAAATGGTAGCTTCCGGGTTATGATACAAGCTTCAATTTCATCATCATGGGCTCAAGAAAGTGTACATTTCTTTTTCTCTGCAAGTCATCAGTCCTACGCATTTCATTTTGCTCTTCATTTATGATATACTTAAAATTGGATACTTTGGGACGCAATTACAGATTCTTGTATACAAAGTTGATGCCAAGAAAGCACTTCAATTTCAGACATACGCTAATAATCCTTCAAAAAAAGAAACTGAATCCATAATGCAGGAAAAATTCCATAATCAAGTTCAGGGACTGTCACAACCTGAAGTACTTGTGATATGCCCGAATCCAATCCCCAATACTTTAAGCAACAAGCATCAGGAAGAGATGAATGGCCTCGTTGCCAAATTGCTACCAAATTAGGTTTCTCAGTAGTCAGTACAAGTCTACCAGATGTGGGCTTCAAGCCCCAACAGTGCTGCTTCTATATAATATATCCAGATGTTCTTTAACATAGACCACAGCACACACGTGCACAAAGGAAAAGAACACACCAACAGGTATGCAAAATTATAAAAATACTGGCTATAACAAATAACAATGTGTTGAAACATGGAATCCATTGGACAAAATCTTTCCTTTAGATACCCAATCATCAAGCAGCTACCCACCCAGCACCATTCATAAGAGAAGAAAACGCACAGACTTCAGGTATCCATTAGTTAGCAATTAATTTAATAAATCCATACTACCACATAAGAAGTTCAATATGAAATCCACAGTTAGCAATTAATTAAAAAAAACAGATGGAACATCAAGTCATCGAAAAACCTTAATTACACTAACAATGAATTAAAAAAGTAAATATACTCCGCTCAAATCATCAAAAAAAGATTAAATCAAGCGAAGAAAGACATACCTCTAAGCTTGATTGCCTATTGTGAATAAAACCCACAATGTCTAGAGTTGCGAGGAATGCGCCAAACACCGACGAAACACCAAGGAACGAGGCAACTATCTGGTACGATAATGATCTTCTTCTTCTGCGGCTATGATTTCTGACCAGAGATCCACATTATTTTTGCCTGAAACGCAAACAAAAAATCAAAATAAGTGAATGGAAGTGTGTGTGTATTCGAATGAAGTTGAAAACATTAGGGCTTTTCTCTGTACCAGCTCGGGAACCCATTGTCAGTACTCCACACAGAGTGATTATTATTTGGATTTTCAAGAATGGCGCTGTTATTGTCTACCAAAGCCATTGCTTTCGGTTTTGGAGTTTGAGAGAGAGAGAGAGAGAGTATGCGTGTGTGTCGACTGAAATAAACGAAGAGGGAAACATGGGGAAAGTGAGAATGAGGGAAAAAGCTGGGTAGGGGGGAAAAAATGACCAAAACGACGTCGTTTTGGGTTTTTGAAAAATTATATTCCACGACGTAAATAACAAAAACGTCGCAATTTACTATTTTTATTTTATTTTAACTTTAAACGAAGTTATAATTTATATTTTGCAACGAAAATAAAAATGTTGCGCATTAAATTTTTATTTTATTTTATTTTAACTTTAAAGGTGGTTATAATTTATATTCTACGACGAAAATAAAAATATCGTGAATTAAATTTTTATTTTATTTTTAATTTTATATTATTTAATTTGTGACAAAAAAAAATTTATCGTAAAAAAAAATTTCATTTCCCGCCATCACTCACACAAAAAAAAAAGGGAGGAACTCACAATTTTTGCGATGTACTTACAAAAAACGTCGCTGAAAAAATTATCATAATAATTATTTATGAAAAATTTATCACATCTTCGCAGATAGCATATTTTTTGCAACAAAAATAAAAATGTCACGAATTAAATTTTTATTTTAATTTTTAATTATTTAATTTACGACAAAAAAAATTTTCATTTTCCGCTGTCCATTGCGCCAAAACAAAAGGGAGGAACTAACATTTTTTACGATGGACTTAAAAAAAGGGTTGCGAAAAAAATTACCATATTATTTATTTGCGACAAATTTATCAAATCCTTATATTTTTTTGCGACGAAAATAAAAACGTTGTGAATTAAAATTTTATTTTATTTTCATTTTTGATTATTCAATTTGTTTGTAGCAAAAGAAATTTTCATTTCCCGTCATCAATCGCATCAAAAAAAAGGGAGGGATTCACAATTTTTGCGACGAACCTAAAAAATCGTCGCGAAAAAAATTACCAAAATAATTATTTGCGATAAATATATCAAATCCTCGCAGTATATTTGTTGTAGTGACAATTCAACAAATATATAAAGTTCATATTCAACAAATATTTGTTGTAGTGATAATATATAAAGTTCATACAGTCAAACTGGCAAACGATAACCTCTTCATTTTGATCTATAGGAATTGGAGATGAATTAACACATTCCAGCGCTATAAAATCTCTACAAAAAAAAAAGATACAGTCAAAATGTAAACACAACAAAATATAGTCAGGCTACAGTAATGTACGCCGATGTTGTAAGAAATTTTTTTTTCAACAAAAAAAAAACCCTAAAACCAGGCCCACAGTGTGCGATTATACAAAAAAGACTTGAAATAAAAAAATTTATTTAATCAAATGGTCACCAAAAGAACATAAAATCAGACCACGTTGTTGAAGGCCACCAAAATTATCAACAAATGCTTCCAATTAAAAAACCTGGTAAAAAAACACAAATTCTGGATATGGCATTTTTGGGCTTTTTGAAGCAACTCTCTGGAAAACCCAACCTCTTCAACTTAATTTTTTTAATCATAGAAATCCAATACCCATTCTTTGTGTCATGGTGGAAACAGAACACGCCCCATTTGTACACGGATGGGGGTAACAGAAATTGGATTGCAGTGAATGAGGGTTGTGCGTACAATCGTTATTAGCAATAGGGGTATCAATGAACATAAATTAACAAGGGTTTTGATGGGGGTATGTGTGTATACGACATATAAATCCAAAATCTTCTACCTAAAACCCCTTGTTAATTTCAGTTTGTAGAAATTAATTGCTTGGGGTTCATGGGGTTGACGGATAAATATGGGTGAGAAAAGATGAGAGTTTTCCTGGTGAGAGATGTTACCTTGTTGGGGGTGGAGAACCGAAGTCAAATGATGCCCCTTTGTCGTCTTCTTTAGCGAGTGGACTCGTAGAGTGCAAAGGGGTTTGATTTTATATGAGGGGTAGGTGTGGAAGGGTACTATACTGAATCTATGACCTTATACGGACAGTGGTCTTACACCGGTTAGGTGGTATTATATATACCCATCAACATGGGTTTATGGCTATTGTACATAGCAAGTCA